TCTCGTCTCTCTCCCCGTCTCTTTCTCCCCCGTCGCTATTTATCTGTCTTCCGCTTCGCTCTACGATTCCCGGAAGCTGCAGATGGTATCGATTTCGTGTTATACAATTGCACGAAAATGACCTCGCCACTCTCAATAGCAAATCTAGATACGCGATGCTGCCGTGAGGGCGGCGCACGGCGTGAGAGAGAGAGAGAGAGAGAGAGAGAGAGAGAAAAGGAGAGTCTCGTGTGTATCTGGATACAAGCTAAGACACGAAGCACATGTAAAGCGGAATAATAACGCCTGTCGTTTATTTTTTTTCTATTGAATGGGATATTCTTTTTATAATCGGACGATTAACTTCCACTTCATTGTGGTCGCCTCCATTCAACCGCGAGTCCGTTTTCAATGATCGCGCAGATCGCGCGTAGTTGTATTTTAAGTACTTCGACTTTTCGCTCTGACGCACGAAACGTTATCTTCGTACAATGGATAAACCTCTTGCGAGTTTCATCTTGAAATGCACGAAATTAATCGTCCTCCCCGATTTCGAAAGTGAGCAAATTGCCTGTCGCGATTTGTAGCTAGCGGAAACTCTAAGGAATTTGTCCGGTGCTGCTCGTAAGATTTAATTAATTTGTATCCAGCTATATTCTAAGATGACGCAAATGGGGTTAATGGACCGACGACAAATGACGGATCAGTCGGCGACGGATCAGTTTTGACCGCCTAAAGATTTCCGCGATTTCTCCATCGGTCATCATGAGAGACGCGGGAAAGGAGAGTGCGAGCGAGCGATGATCGGGAAAGAGGAGAGAGGGGGAGGGAGGGGGAGGGGAGAATAGGGGGAGACATAGATCACAACTTGTCAGAACGTGACAAACGTAATGAGATCTCAACGTTAAAAGGGGGACTTTTTCAACATCGTTGTCATGGAATTCATTGATTGCAGGGTGACGACGCGTGGCTCTGGTGATGGGTTCTCGGATTGGCGTGGGACGTCTCGCGCTTCAGCCTCTGCTTGAGGTGCACCTTCGCGTGGCGCTTCTTCTCGTCGCTCCTGGCGAACTTTCGGCCGCACTGGTCACAGCAAAACGGCTTCTCGCCGGTGTGCGTGCGCACGTGGGTGGTCAGGTGGTCGCTCCTCGAGAAGGAGCGCATGCAGATGCGGCACTGGAACGGCTTCTGCCCGGTGTGGATGCGTATGTGCCGGGTGAGCTCGTCGCTGCGGGAGAACCTGCGGTCGCAGCCGTCCACCGGACAGGCGTAGGGCCGCTCGTGGACCGGCGTCTTGCTCGGCCGATTCGGGTACTTGCGCGGTTTCACGGGGACCAGTCGGAGCGGCAGTGCGCTCTGCTGATAGACCTGAGAGAGGATCTCGTGGCCCTTGGACGTGCTCGGATTGTACTCGGCCAGTTGGACCCCCGTGCTACCGCAGGTGGCAGGCGGCGGGGCTTGTTGTTGCTGCTGTTGCTGGGCCTGCGCCTGAGCCTGCTGCGGTTGCTGGACGCTGGACGCGTAACCGGCGCCGGTCGGCTCCTGCTTCAACGTTGTCTCCTGGTGATGGGCGTGAGAGTGATGGTGGGAGAGGAGACCGGGATCGTAAGCGTCCTCGTGACCCGTCAGCCAGGTCGCGGGGGTGGTGGTCGCCGTGTCGTGATAACCGGGCGGCGGGGGCGGCTTCGAATCGACCTGCAGCAATTCGACGGTCTCGCCGCTGTACGCGGCAGAGTGTAAGTTGGGGTGAAGGAACGGCTGGCCCGCCAAGGTTAAGGTTGGCGACGGTAACGGCGCCCACAGCTCCTGACCCGCCGGCTGCTGCGGTTGCTGCTGCTGCTGGTCGCCCTGGAGGTTGCCCAGAGGGGAGGACTGCGTGCAGGTCGTGGTGAAGACGCCGCGATAGGTCAACGTCGGTACGTTACAGATATTCACGCTCGTCGCGGGCGCAGTGGGCGTGGAATGCGGTGAGTACAAAATCACACCACTCTGCAGCGCGTTGCAGCGATCCGCCTCGTCCTGGGTCTGGTGATGGCGCGACGGCGGGCTGCTAGAGGAAGGCGCGTTCGACGTCACGGCATTCCGCGCGTCCTGATGGTGATGATGCCGGTGATCCCTGCCGGCGGACGCGCCGCCGTTCTCGTCTTCCTCCGCGGTCGCCTCTTCCAGGGAGAGGTCCTCGCTCGCCAGGCTGCCTGCGAAGCATCGATAAAATCGTCGCTTAGTCTCGATCTCGGGCCTCACCGCGCGCACGTAGCGCGTAACATTTCGCTGCGCGTCCTATATGTATACGCGGACGGGCGGACGCGTGTATTTGTACCGACAGGAAGAAACGCGCGATACGGGGGTGACTTTATCTCCTCGGAGGCCTCTATCTTTTGTCTGCATCCTGCCGCGTTGCTACTTCCTTTCCTGCGCATATAATTGCGTTCCGGAAGTACTCATCGGGATCACAAGCGAATGGAGCGTGGTACCGTGCATATGTATATATATTTTTTTTATAACAAAAAGACTGCCGACTCGATAACATTCCCCCCCCCCCGACCCCGATATCGCTCGTCGAATACAACGCCGAGGAAATAACACGCGCCAGGAATCGTCGTAATTGTGTGTTTGCGCTTTCATTAAATATACATACTTTCATGTCGGGAGATAAAAAGGTATGCGGCAAACGCCTTTGTCAAGCTGCGCGATAATCGGGAGGGTTATTACGGTACTGAGGGTGGCGGAGGTGGGGGCAGCTGGAAGCATGAATGAACCGAACCGAAGGGATAGCGGGAGGAGGGGCGGGAGGTGGTAGATAGGAGGAGGAGGAGGAGGAGGAGGAGGAAGAGGAGGAGGAGGAGGAGGTGGTGGTGGTGGTGGTGGTGGTGGTGGTGGAGGTGGTGGTGGAGGAGGAGGAGGAGGTGGCGGCGGTGATGCAGAGGAGGGTCTCTGAATGTCGGGGTCGTTGGGTATTGATCCGCGACAGGCGGACAGACCTTCGATATTACGTGTTTTCGCGGGCGAGCGTAATAAACGTCGGCAACGCGCGCCTCGTGGCCGCTTCGCCGCAGACGCCGCGGCTCTGCTCCGTGCGCGCGGCGCCGCGTCACACGCCGCCTCGGGCGGCACCCTAAATTTTCCCGCGAATGATGCAGATGTTAACGACCAGGCATCGAGGAGCGCGAGGAGCTCGCGGACGGTATATAGAAAGCGAAAGGTCGACGAAAGCGAAACAGTAAACCGCGTTCGTTTACGGGGCGGTCGTGTTCCCTCGCCCATGCGATCCTGTTAACGCTCGCCGAATCGCGAGGGATACAGATCGTGTCCCGATCGGCCGCGTGTATCCGTGCGTCGGTCCCACACCCCTCCCTTCCCCTTCCCCCCATTGCCTTGTACCTTACGCCACCGACGAAACGCGCGTCCAGAGGAAAGTAAAGAGCCGACGAGGTAAGTCGGCCGGGGTGGAGGAGCTGCGCGGGGGTGGTCCCACTCGGTAAGTTGCGCCGCGGTTAAGGGATTTTAGCTGACGGGGTAGGTACCTGAGATCGGTGGCGGTTCGACAAGCGCGGAGGGCCCGAAGAAAGAGGGTAGGTCGCTGCTGGTGGTGACCGGCGTGTTGAGGTCGCCGGGCTTATCCTTGTCGATGGTATCGTGAATGTCGCTCCGGCAATTGTTCCTGATGCAGCCCTTGTCGTCGTCGTCGACGCCGGGCTGCCGGTGCCGCTTGCCGTCCGCGGCGTCGGTGGACGGCGAGGACGCATTGGGGTGCACCAGCTGGTGCTGGTGGTGACGGTCGTCCAGCTGATGGTGGTGCTGATGGTGCTGATGGCCGTGGTTGTGCTCCGGGGGGGCGGTCGAGCTGATCTGCAGCTGCATGTGCAGCGGCACGCTCGTCGCCAGGGAGAGCGACGGCGTGCCCTTGCCGCAGCCGGTGGCGGACGAGTTGGTGCAGGTCGCGGATGTCCCGCTGACGTCGCAGGTGACCGAGCCGGACGTGGGGGCCGCGTTGTACGGTAAACACGCGTCGAAGCTGAGCTGCACCGGCAAATTGAACGTCGCGTGATGATGATGATGGTGGCCCAGCGGCGGCGAGGAGAGCAGAAACGGGCTGGTGGCCGCGTGCGGCTGCGAGCCCACCACCTCTACGCCGTCCATAGTCATCCTCTGGAGCTGATCGCCTCCCTGGGCGACGGCGGAATCCTCGGTGCCGCACTGCGTGTCCTCGCCTGCGGTTGTATCGTTCAACGTAAATATTATGCTTAAAATTACGGCCGTTCCTCGATCGCTCCGAGAGTTTTAAGTTATTATCCGGAGAGCTTTCTGTCTCTCTCTCTCTCTCTCTCTCTCTCTCTCTCTCTCTCTCCCCCTCTCTCTCTCTCTCTCTCGCTCGAAGGAACTCCGTTTCCCGCCGCGCCAACGCCAGCTCTCTCTCCAAAAGCTCCTTTTCCCTCTTC